TCCCATTATCATCAATGGTTTGCTTGAGCCATGTGTTTATTCTGCTTTACCTGAGACTGTTGTCTGGTCAGGCAATTTTAAAATGTAACAACATTAAAAAATAAAACCTCAAAACTTTTGGATATATAAAAATCCCCGTTCTCTTCAACCCTTAATACGATATAACGGTGTGTAAATAGGCCTGGAGACTAAGTTCTGCTGATAATGATAACCCACATGTCATTAGCATGTATATAAGGCGGAATATCAACATCGCACCTGTCATATCTGCTATCTACGTGACGGTCAACAACTGTGGACAATTACCGCGCACTAAGGGTCCGTGATTGGCCGGCCTAGTGTCATGTGTCGCGGTGTCCTTGCACGTGACAATTGTGTATTGACCAACGCTTATCTATGACGCGTTCCGGCTTTATGCGTTATCATAATCAGAGTAATTATGAGGTTATGTTTAAACGTCATTAGCGTTTAAGTGGTCAAAGGACATTATCACGTGTATATCGTGTGTTTTCACAAGCGTTATAAACGTGTCACAACTTCAAACACTTCGATAATTACTTTTCATCGCTTCCTAAAAGCAATTAAGCCATTACCGGTAAAATAAACACGTTTATTTGTTTATAACATTCTATGCATACACAGACATCAATATGCAATAAACACCGATCGTAAAATTTATGATAAAACCAGATAAAACTTGTCATCATTGATTCATGTTAATGGGTAGTAACACAGGTAGGCACTTCACTGTTGCGTTTCCACAGGCACACATTGTCTTATCATGCAGATTTCGTTTTATCACACTTAGGGGTTTTAGTGTAATTTAATGATAATTTCTAAATACACGTGGGATACTATTGAGACTTGACATCCTCCCCTTTGCGTCTGATAACGTGTCTGAGATAACGGGGATGTAAAACATGCTGATAGGTATTAGAATGGCGTACACAGCGGTTCTAATTCCTGTCATTATAGCAGATAATACTTGAACCGGGCCTGGGCCCCGTTCCACAAAGCGATCTTAGCGCTAAGATAACGTAACTCCCATACTTTAACATACACTTACGACGATCGTAGCTATGATAGCTTTGTGGAGCCGGACCTAGAGAAGTTCGCATGGGAAATCGTCAGTAACCAGACATGTAAATATGAAATTGTTCTTGATATACTTCACGGCGTGGAACGTTTTGTACGAATCGAGACAAGGTAATACGCCCTAAAATCATGTTTTATGTACACTATACTAAACGTTTTGGAGGGATGTACCTGTTTTACACGATACACCAAACTGATGACTTATAATAAGTAAATTGTATGGAGTACCTCAGTATTCCTAAACAATCGTGAGTAGTACACATGTATTATTAATGGTCGCATATCAAATGTGTGTCTTTAGATTCAAGAACGTTTAGTTTTTCTATTAAAACCACGACCAAGGAGGTAGATGGACAGAAGCGATATTTGGTCAGCTAGCATTTACCATATATATCTAAATGAGTGAGATTTTTATAACAAAAAGTACTAATAGCATCAACCATTAATATCACTTGCGTGTTATGACTGTGTTCGTTGCTATATATAATCCTTCTGGTGTAGTCGTGTGGTGTTGAATGTAAAAATTATTATCATTTTGCAGTTTGATAGAATAATTGATAACACGAACAAACAAAAAAGAACAAGACCAACTTACGAAACAAAATATTACTTTGAATTTCACTGTTTTAAGAGTGTGAATGATAATGATATATTAAAATGAAGTTTGCATTTGTACACAGAGTAAATATACGGGAAATGGACAGAAAATAAATCATATTTATATATATACAGTAGCAGTGTATCTGAAAACTGACAATGGCAAAGTACTTAAGAATACTCCCTCGACCCATTCCCATGAAATATTCACTGATTTGACTTGTGCCACACCCACTTTAAACAGGGTGTGATTTGTGGTAGTGTTCAAGGCACTTTCCATCCATATCCATTACAACTAATTCAAATCAAAGAAATTCCCCAAATTATAATTCAGTCAAAAGTGATTAGACAGTGCCGTGCATCCCGCATTGTCAATCGGCGTCGCGGGTACCATACATTTTCTAATTTTCCATCCAAACTTCAACAAAGACTATTACAATTTGGTACTATGGGATACACCAACCTAATCAGTACCCTGCACGTGCGGAAGTGAAATATTCAATTTGTGACAACCACGTGACTGGCTGAAATTTGCAAATATGTCAGTGGTCAATGTCACGACCATCAATCACAACGTCATGGCCTCCTCAAGTGGTCTTCTCGCTCATCAGTGGATCGCCTCTTTGTCAACTATGTGCCTAAAGGGACACCGACTACTGTCGCTGAATTGTCTCGTTTGTTTAGATGTTGGCATAAGGCATTTATGTGGTTAGGATTATCTATCTGAATGTACCAATTCCTGTGAATGAAATAGACATCCGTTTGGTGACAGGTGATGATGTAGCGGGAGTTAATGACTGACAGGTGAATATTGACAGGTGCGTGCATATAGCACGTGCATGTATTCGTTGTACATTTCGCGATGTTTCTTTTGCAAACAACATATGGTTATAATGTTTATGTTGCTGACAATACTGGTGGCAATAATATCACTGACTAAATACCATTCTACTTGGTTTTTTAAAAACATATTGCAAATGTTTTTGTTTTTTTATTCTATCATAAACTCTAACCACAGATAAACTGCAGGGGGGAAAGTTTACACCAGAAAATTGAATTTGAAAAAATATACGATCGTTATCAAAACGTTACATGCGAAACACTTCTAATAGGTACAAAAACATACCCGTATCAAATGCATCACCATCGAATAACTATTTCATGTTTGTTTCATTTTTAGCCAGCATCAAACATGGGTGTATACTTTCTTTTGGCCGACAGTGTATGTTTGGAAGCGCAGTGAGGGTGTTAAATGGCCCTAATCCGTATAAACTAAGCGTATACAGTTTCGCTATACATTCATCCGCTTGAGAGACAGTTTTCATCACAGATCATTAAATGGCTTTAATTTCAACACGATGACCAGTCTACCGTAACTTATCTAATAAATCCAAATTATTTCCGTAATGAAATGAATCAGTGTCTCGTTGAGCTACTGACCGATGGCCACCGGTCATCTGGGTAATATATGGGAGTATTGGGTGACAGACCAGTGTCCGATCATTTTATTACCCTTGCCCCCAGCTGTTTTAACTTTGCTGCTATCAGGTGCACCACGTGCCTACGACAATCATGTCTAAATAAGAGTATTTGGGATGTTTTGAAAGTTTTACGGTTCTGAATTCGTAATTACCTCGTAAACGTTTGTTTGTGGGGATGATACGAATAATTACAGTATAAACAAAAACAACCGCCGGGATGGATAAATAAACAGGCTTTGTGAGGTACCTCCCTATGAAGGTGCTGTGGTCGCCCGTTCAAGTACGCGGTCTTGACTCTTAATCCGTTAATCTTCCGAGCACGCTTTTTGTATTTTCCATCTTTGTTGAACAACCACTGTCAAATCCCCAACATTATTCAAGAAGAAAAGGCCAAGTGGGCAGTGAAATTCAATTAGCTATTTCAAATTATGCCAAATAAAGCGTATACAACACAACACGCATATTATTTATTCATCAAAACACATTCTACAGACAGAAAACGCACTTAACTGAAAAAAACCCAAACGGCAACACATTCCCTCGTATTCACTTCTAATACCAAATTCTGCATACCACGCGAAACCATGGCAACAAGACAAGCTGTTGGTTGTAATATTGAAAAAAAATGATAAACGCATGGTACATATGGTATGAATAGCACGAATAATAACCAGTGTGAAACAGTAATGCATACCCAGGACCATTTTCAAAGTTGAAACGTAACAGCAACTCACGCCATATGGCGCTTCGTCTCTTTATAGCCGGGTCACAAACCTTGCGCTGGACTGGGGGCTCGCTTACCCAGTTAATTCACTCGAACAGCCCAAGGGACAGTTTCTTCACAAAGGGAGAAAATCACATAATTCGAGATATGGTTTTCATCAATGAAAAAAATATTCAAGAATTAATAAGACGGTAAAATGATTTCATAAGACAGAGAACATGTAATTTAACCAAATGTGAATCTCTCTGGTCCTGCGTGTCTTGTGGTGATATCCGATTTTTCATGTTCCTCATTTTAAAATCACGTTTTAATTATTTTAAGAAAATTAATGAAATGTATATTCGCATTAAATAATTGACATGGCATGTTTCATTTAACATTCACGTTTCCATTCAATTAGGAGGGTCTGTTGTTGCAGTTCGTTCTTTATGTTAATACGATATTTGTTGTTCTTTATAAAAAAATAATGATAAATTTATCAAGTTTGACCTTTTGTAAGTTGTCTGTTTTTGATACGTGATCTATTTCTTTGTAATTTATGCACGGACTGATTTAATAATGTTTCCATATTTTCATGTAAACAATATAACGGTTAAAAGTTTAAGAAAAACTGATAATGAAATTTTATTAACGTTTTCCTGAAAGATGTGAGAACACACGATGCAGCGAATGTTTTCAGTGTCTGCAGTGATAGTAGTCATGTGGCGCGAGTCGATTCCCCAGCTAGTCAGGAGACGGTATCCGGGGAAAGCTATATGCTCCGCTACCGGCCCTTGCGTCGCGCTTCTCTTGCCATGCATTGTACTCGGCGTTGTTTATAGTCGAGCCAGTAAGTCATTTCTTCAACGTCTATCATCCTGTCAATCAAGCCTCTCAGCGACCAATCGCTAAGCGGTAAGCTTGAGAGGGAGGAGTCGGCTTTTGTGTTAGCCAATCGTGGGCGCGGATTAACCCCGGAGCCCCACATGGCTAGTAACCTAATTCAAGGGGTTCAGACACCAGCGCTACATGATTACATGACTGCGAATGAATGGGAACGAAAACTTGCTCAACTAAGTCAACAAGACGAAAAGTGATCTTTTATAATGTATGCCCTGTTTCAGCCAGAAGACAGAGATTAGAGATCACATGCCTTGCACCTCGATCTGTATGGAGTAAATAGATCACCAACAACAGATACAGGACAGCGAGTTTACAACGCCAGCCAGTCTTGACGCTTCATTCGGTTGTGTTGGAAGACAAGTTTTACAAATGCTCGTGCGTTTACAGAGGAATGGTACTGATGTGGTGTTCTCTGTGGATTATTAACTGAAGTTATAATCGGTGTTTCGGATGTTACTGGCAGAGCCTGTCAACCCTATATTGGCCACAATGTCGTCGTCCTTCGGTAGGACTTTACCTGTGATGGTGTTATGCTGTGTTACCCGTATCGTGGCCAACGGTAAGTGGACCTATCCGTGTGTACATACATGCACGTGTGTTGTGGTTTGCAGGTGCTGCACCGGAGTATAATACCTGTATCAATTCACTGGATGGATATACTTCTGTACCGTTTTTTTCCCAGTTGGGATATTTTGGGAAAGTTCGCATGGATCAGTTGTTGACAATGGTCTATAGTTCAAATGTCGCACATGACACCTGGACGTCTTGCTCTTTGAAGTTTTTCGTAGGTGGGCGTCCCTTGACAGTATGTGAGCCTAAATTGCTTCACTTGGAGAGAGTTTGGTAAATACAGGTAAACTGCCACAACCTTCGAGGCATAGGAAGCGATCTCACAACCCCTCCCGACTCGCATTTCAAAGTTTATTTGGAAAGACCAGGGACATATCTCCACCTTGTCGGGGATTTATTTCCACAACTGGATCGTATTTTCGCTGTTCCTTAAAAAAAACGTGGACGTGAGATATAGTGCTCTTAGCCTTTGCTGACTTCAGAACCCATTTCCTGTAGAAGTAGGTTGTATTTGGGACAGATCGATTAAATGCTGATATTTTTACGGAAGGATCGATTTAATGGATACTATTGTATTGCCATTGAATCAGATTATTTTAATGACCGTGCCATGGAAAATCGATGCGTATCCTTTTAACAAGGTTATTACAAGGTAATTTGTATGCCACAATCTCATAACCAAACTTGAAGTCTCATCACATCCAGAATGATAGATAGAACACGTCAAAACGCATTGATGGCATAAACAATACGGCAATGGAATCGACACTGGCAGTTCTTACATTTGCCTATCAATGACAACATTACAAAGTCAATTGTTCAGTCTGAAGCCAGGTTGTGTAGGGATTGTAATGACTTGAGAGGGTTGGTCCGCTAGACCATCCTTGCCTTTGTCCTCAGCCTGACGACAGCTCTTGTAGCGCTTGACAACACACATCGGCGGATGTATCATGTTGGAGCTGCTCACGGCTTTAGCACTAGACGCGATTTGATTCATAAATTGCACATCGAGCTATATCGATCGAAGGGATTGGAAGACTAGCTGTAGTTCTTTTGGGAAGTGAATTGGATGAAATAAATAGATCTAATAAGGGTCAACTGATGTACACATCTCGTTTGGAATCTGGCGTGGACGTTAGTTCGACGAGGACTTCAGACTAAACAGGACTCCGGAGAGACTGCCAGTATCGCGATCGAGTACTAGGGTTCTTCTGGCGTCTGCTTCAGTAAATGATCTTATTTGGTTGTTATTGGGGTGAAAACGTTTATCATCGAGTTCATTTAGTTTATTTTTGCCCAAGCTGTTTATTCCACTTCTGCCTCCAATAAAGAAGTGTCGTTTGGCGCGACCGTGCGATGTCGTCTGCTTTCTCCCGAGAAGTGCACCTAGCAATTATTTGCGATTCTGGACAGATGGGGATCCATCCTTCACTAATCGGTATCCGTCACATGCCGTTCTCTAATATTCCCTTTTCTAGGCAATATCTCATTTGGCTGAGACTGGGGTCTCCATCGTCTCAGTTCGGGTGACGATAGGCAGACCCGAAACTCATTCAGAAAATTATCAGGCAAAGAGCCGAAGACGGAGAGAGACAGGGCGAGGCCGTAGGGACGGGCATTATGGTCGTGTTTTTTTTTAAAGACAGGATAAAAATAGTGTGATGTTGTTTCGGAAGTGCTACAAGACAAGGAAAGGGAGGCATGACTCAGAAAGGACCGAGCGTTTGAATTATTAACCGCACGAGAAGTCATTAGCAGACGATTAGTCCGGTCTCGTGGTCGCACCTGCACGTGCAGTGACGAAACCGTCCTTACTTGCCCAGGGATACCATTCGAGATCTCTTCGGCCTTGGGGTCAGTTTTTACGAGACCCACCCATACATTTCTTTCTCTTTATGAAGTGTTATTGTTGCGTAGGGATTCCTGCGTGTAGCTCTTCTTATCAAAATCTGCCATTGTAAATAGTCATAGACACGCATCGCTTCATTAGCAAAGGTGAACCGCTATATAAGAATAGACGTTGTTGGACAACCCAGTGGCCATTGTTCTGAGATAATCAAGTAAGAATGATAGGACATATTGATTTCATTGCACGTGTGTGTATATAGCTAGATCCTGGTACCGCCTGCCGCTCTTTTAGCAATGTACACAGACGTCTAGTAGGCACTCTTGGTAGGTGTTAGTATTGCCTCCCTGATCAAGTCAGGCGTTTCTACCTTCCGTCGTACCGCGGTGACTTGATGCCATGGTTTAATACCCACGGCCACAATTCGAGAACCTTTTGTAATGCATCTATCAATATTATTCCACAGAGGGTTAATAACGTGGACTTGGGCATGGCGGGTGAAAGCAAATCGCTAGAACAAACATAACGGACGACTGTGAGGGGATTTGATATTTTTGCGTGTGTGTTAGGAGACAAATTGTAGAATATTCCTTGATGTATTCCCAGCCTAAGACGTCTTAGGATGCCAATGAGACAAGGGATATATTTCTCAGGATTATGGACGAATTGTCACCATGAAAGGGTTTTGGCTAGGTAGGGTTTAGCCTAGATCCGTAGGAACATGTTTGCTACCAGTGCTCCCTGAGGTTGTGAATGTCATACGACTGGCTTAGCCCTCCTATATTTTCTGCAAGTTTGTATATTTCGTTTTCGCCGTGTTTAAACAAACCTGATCCAAAGTTGAAATGTACGACAGGCGCATTTACCTTGTCTTACGTAGGGTTGCACCCAGATTTTATCTTTGGTTTTTCAAAAGTAAAAGTTAACTTTGAAAACCATAGCCTTTGAGCATTTCGCGACAGACGTAGAAGCCGCCAGTATTTACTCTTAAAATTAGCAGACGACAGCTAAGTGATTTTGCTCAGAGAGAGGAGACATGCGCATTTTCTGCACGGCCTATTAGGTAACTTTGTTGAAGTCTACTTTGCACGAACAAACGTTTACATTTCTTTTTGCCAGTCTGTAAACTGTCGATTGCCTTCTGTTAACCCAAGATCTTAGTCAGAATGGGGTTTTTTCAAAATATGTTTGAATTTCTCGATGGACATTTTAAGTAGGCTGATCAGACTGTAACTCACAGACATTTCTTGAGTACCGTTAGGCGTAGGTTAACCTAGGACTGTTTGTTCAGAATCGCCGTACGTTGATAACAATCTGACAATAAAGTCAGCATAGGTCATACTGCATGGTTTCGCAGAGTTTATGAATAATTTGTAATACTGATTAGCAGTTCCTACACGAGAAAGAACTCCTTCGAGGAAAGTCAGAAGCTTTTGCGTCAGTCCCAAAGCAGGTGAAATGGATGTATGCCTTCAATTATTCAGTATGTTTTCCTTTATATCTGTGTTAAATTCGGAAGTCGCCTCATTATGTGTAATTTCATACTCTCAATGGAGCAATGTTTCCAGAGATATACACACGAATTGTAGCATGCTACCGGGCGGAGAGTTACCTGCTCGCCATCTTGATCCAACCAATTGCTTATGGCTGTCTGACTTCATACCTGTACCTGTCTCATTATCGGATTATTACATTATCACTGATAATTCCCAATTCCAAGCTAAGATGATAACACAGACATCAAAAATAGAATTGAACATTTTCAATATTGTACTTGTATGTTTATATATTTCGAATTTTGAACCAAGAATGTATCTTTGTATGATTAAGTTTAATTAATTCTTCAGCTTACCCTTGAATTGAAATATGGAATATTTTTGTGTGTTAAACTTTAAACTTGATTATTTACCAATTCCTTAATATCTTTATAATACTGTGTCTTAATACATCATTTTTAGGTACATGGGTTATCACAACCACACCAAAATCAACAGTAGTTAGGGTGAGGGCGAAGCCAGCAACTAGTAATCTAGGTGCTGCAAGTTTTTCAAGTATTTCCTTAAACATGTTAGATTGTCTTTGGATCTAAGGACCTTTGTTTCATGAGTTTAACCTCGGCAAGTAGGACAAATGGGAATTTGTCCAAAGGGCGGACGCTACAACGTTGTTGACTAAGGACTGGGTCAGACTTGCAAACAATGCATTCTTGGATTTGAGCTCATTTCATTTCCGACATGGTGAGGGCCTCACTTGAACTACCCCTCAGAATTTCACTCGCTAGCAGAGTATAAGTGAACTCTGTTCCACTGTATGGACACTGACTATGTTTTACTTAAAATCTGCCAAAAAAATCAGTATTATAATTAAAGTTTGAATAAAAACTATCAAAAAATATTTCATAAATTAGCAATCAAATGATAACTTCTATTATAGCAATCTAAGTTCTAAAACAGGGAACGTAACTATTGAAAAAAGAGGGTTTGAGAATTAGTCTTTTTGAAGTCAATAATTTGGTACACATATTGTGAGGTATCATTCATGTACAGTATGCTCAAATAGAGGTATAAGAAGGGGTAATCAATTCAGAAGACAGATGTTGTAGTTGCTGTTTTGTATGTACACCATTGATTTTTGTGTGTGAAAGTTGCTATTGAGCTGCCACACAAATATTTATAAAGTGGGACAAAATTTTGGGAATTTCCGAACAAAAGCAGATTTATAACATTTAAAGAGGGCTGGGGAGGTGTACAGATGGTAGTGAAATAAACTCGGCCAATAAAATGAAAGGAATACCATGATGGAGTCTCATATCTCGAGAAAACCTTTCTCCCTTCCAGCTTAGATCAGATACGTTGACTAGATACAGCCATTTGACTCTCTCGTGGTCGTATGTTGAAATATTTCTTTTGAGATGGCTGAAGTTATGGCCACAACTGGCACCTCAACTGTGATTCGCTGGAGATATTAATGATTTCACTTCACAGCTGTTTCTGTTAACTCCTACACCCCTTGTCCTCTTGCCAGCATCTGGGATGGGACTTACACAAATTCATGTAATGTTATCGATGGAACTGTATCCTTGGATGAATAGTGTTGGTTTGTCTCCCCAAACTAAACATATCCAACTTGCCTAGTCTCCGCAG